CGGATGCCCTCACCGGCCGAACACCTGGCCTCCTCAGCACCCCCCAGCGCACACACTTATTGGGTGGCACGGACCGGTTCTCTCTCGCTGAGCCGCCATCTGCCCCATTAATCCTGCACAAACGTTTGGGTGTCTGTGTCTTGAGTTCGCCCCCCTCCCCCGCCCCCCCATCAGGCCCCTTGAGAGGGCCGGGCCCAGCTGGAGTCTTCCCCTACCCCGCACTGTGCCTGGCCCAGAGCAGAGCATCCAGCAGGTAGTTAATAACGCAATGCTGAATGAATTCTGGGGCCTGGCCCCCTTGGGGCATCAAGTTTCGACATTTCCATCTGCTGTGACATCCTGGGCTTTTGTTCTTAGAGAACTTAAGGGAAGGAAGTTTTACCCTTCTGTCTCAGAACTCTCTGCGGAAGTCCTTTCTTGAGTCTAACTGAAGAACTGCCTGATATTGCTCCTCAAGAGGAAAGGCCCACTGCGGTTTTCACCTGAGAAGTGGCATCTATTCTCATATTTTCCTGACCAGTGGTCCTCAGCATAGCTTCCCGCCTCCTGGATTTCTCTGCCAGCAGCCCGCGGAGGAGCCGGTGTGGACCACGTGTGTTAAACTGGCCCTGTTCTTGGCATCCTGGCAAGAGGCTGTTTCATTATCCACAGATCCTGGGATACCTCCGTTTGCCTGTGTTGGTGGCGGGTGGTCCTTGAGCGTTTTGTAGAGATCAGATATCATCTCTGGCTTTCAGCTGCTTATGGAACAGTCCACGTTCAGGGGCGTCCAGGGCCTCCACCGTCTCAGTCTGAACCCCTCCCAGGCTGCCATGTGACCTCTGCGGGGGTCATCCCCCCGGGGCCTGTGTTTGCCAGGCTCATTCGAGCCTCCATACCTTTGTCTGTGCTGCGCCTTCCACTCAAAATGCTCTCTCCCCTTTCCACATATGTACTTCCTACCCATACACTTAGTTGTTTATTTATCCTTCCATTGATTCCTTAAAAAATATTTACAATGTCTACTTTGTGGTGCAACCATAATTCAAGGACAGAAAAAGAACTGTGTACGTTTATCCACCTCCTCTGTCCTCCCCACCCCCCACCCCCACTCCCTCCTACATAAAGAAGGACCTGACCACACTCAGATAGCACTGGCCACGTGGCACTGTTAATCGACCGGCTGTTGGCAGGGGGGCAGGGGGAGACCCCCACTCGTTCCTGGCTGGGCAGCTGTGCCTGCCATGTCACCACTGGGCCTTGTGTGCCCTGCCCGGGCCAAGGACTGTGGGGCTGAGAAGGGAGGTGATGCCTTCCTGTCTGCAACTCAGCAGAGCACACTAGGCTTGTACTTGGGAGGCACATAGATGTGTGGAAGGTGGGTTGGAAGTGCCTTGAGGGGCTTGCAGGGCTTGCATGTGACCATGTGCCCAGAGGACTCCAAGCGTGGCTTGCTTGGCAGGGAGGAGAGGAGGTGAGAACTGAATCACCAAAGGCTTGGAAGCTGGGTGGATGCTTTGCTGTAGGGTGGGTCTGGCTCCCCGCAGGACTGGCTGCCTGTGCTCACACAAGTGCAGGGAGAGGTGCCTCGGCTGGAGGGTGGGCGTTCCCATGGAAACCGCCGCATCCCATCTGTGGCCTCAGACAACCTGCCTTGTGCCTCTGGGTCCGTGGCACCCCCGCCGAGGTGCCAGGCCACGCTGGCAGAGTTTGTCCTCATGCCCGGTGTGGAGTGTGGATGATCCGTGGACTGGAATGCCCAGGAGTTGCAGGGCACTGGAAGCCTACCTTCTCGCCCCAGGCCCTGGCTTTCTTGGATTCCAGTTGCCTGGTTCAACCCTGCCTGATTCCCAGCTGGAATGACCTTGAATCCCTCACTGAGCCTCTCTGAGCCTCATTTCCTCATCTTACCATGTCCTACCTCGTAAGGCTGTTGTGAGGATTGAGAGAAATGTACCTCTGACGGCATGTAGCACGTGTGCTTGCTTGATCCATACCCAGGAGCCCAAGGAAAGGGGACAGCGGTGGTTGGCACTCTGTGCCGCGGGTATCAGCAGGCATCTGCTGTGTGGGGACCGGGCACTGCCTCTCCCTGGCGTGGAGCTTGCCGCGAGGGTTGGTGACATCACCACGGAGGCAGCAGCAGTGCCGGCAGTGGGAAGAGGCTGCCACAGGGGGCCTGGGCCATGGAGTGGGGGGTGCTCCAGGCCCCCTCCTGTGCCCCCGCAAAGCTGCAAAGCTGCGGGCATGGGACATCCTCTGGTGGCCCTCACAGCTCAACCCGGAGCCCAGGAGAGACGCAGCGCCACGTCTGACCTCTGGTGGTCATCGGCAGAGCTGCAGACTGGCAGCTCTGGGCCCCAGAGGAGTCACTGCCCTGCCTGGGTGGGGGGAGGCAGGAGCAACCCCCACCCCCCACCCAGACCTCGCTCCTTGTGACTGCAGGTCCTGTGCTGCTCCAAGCAGGGCTCCTGTCCCCTGGGTGCATTTTGCTTCCTTTCTCCAGGTGGCAAGAGCTTGAATACTACCTGAGGCTTTGATGAGATGGGTCTGGATTTCAAACAGGGACCACTGAAAAGAAACAAAATCACTCTTAGAGGCCAAATCCCACCCCCCAGCCCCAGGCCACTGGCTCCTACAACCCTGCTGGCCGAGGGGCTCACCCGGGCTGCGGTGAGAGGGAGGCGTTTGGCCGGAGGGGCCCACCTGGGCCCTGGCTGCCCCGGGTGGGTTCGGGGGGACTAGGGCAGACCGCACATGCCTCTGGCCAGAGCTGCTCACGTGCCCGGGCTGGCAGGATGCCTCCTCCAGCGCCCTCCCTGCCGGGTGACCCGTCCTCGGCCGCAGGCACCGCTGCCGCCCGCCGCCTCGGCACGTCTGTGCCACTCGGGTGTTTCTTGGCCGGAGAGTCGCGTGGCACATCTGCTGTCTCCCTCCACGAGGCTCGGAGCAGCTCCCAGGAGGGACGGAGGGGGGAGTCTGGGGAAAGCCTGCAGGCGATCAGATATAATTTCCTCCTCCTCCTCAGGGCAAAAGGGAGATGGAGAGGTGAGCAAGGCTGTTTTTAATTCCTGCCACCGCCACCCCCTCCTGGCACGTCCCCTTGCCCTCCCTAGAGCCAGTCCCGTGGTAAGACCTGAACGGTCTTTAAAAAAAAAAAAACACAACAATTTCTAGAGAGCCCAGGTTGGCAGCAACAGGAACCCATCCCCGAGCCCCCGATCAACGTGGCGTCTTGGCAGCTGTGTCCCCCGAGCACTTTTTCCGGGTTGCATTTTGTGTTGTAATAATCGAGCCGCTTTTCTGTGGCTCCCGGCGTAAATGCACCGAGTGGGAGGGGCCGGGCCTGCTCTCCATTCTTCTGCCCTCATGCGTGTCTCCTTTCTTCGCCTTTGCAGAACCACACGATGAGCCAGCACGCACAGTGAGGGACCGCTCGACAGGACACCTCTCCGCAGAAGGCTTGCCGGAGACGCCGTGGGGAGGGCCATTTGAACATTACATCCAATCAAAGTGTCATTTGCAACCCAGATGTAAAACTCTAATGATTTGGCCATGAGGCGCTGCTATTATAAGCAGCTGGAAATGAATATTAATGGCAGAGATTAAAAGTATTCCATGCTCAGTATTTTTTATTGTCCTGCTACAGCTAGTGTGCTTTTAGAGTTTCCGCCGAAGACTACATTTCTAGAGTTAGAGAAACCCGCTTTTTGAGGCTATTGTCCTTTGTTCCTTCATGTATTATATTGATAGTTTTTAAAGAAAAAAAAAAGGATTAGTGTGATTTTTTTTTTCCTTTGCTTCTTTTTTTTTTTTCTTTCTTGTTTTTCTTTCCCCCCCTTCGGTTAACTACTTTTTAATTGCAATTCTAGGTAATTGTGCATCGTGATGTGATTGCTTGGCTATTGTCTGAATATTTCCTTTTAATTTTTTAATTAAAGACTAATGCTTTGATTGGATTTGCCAGTTCACCGGACAGTGATTAAAACTATGTAATGAATATAATCGGTTTCAGTGCAACTGGATGGTCTGCTTTTAAATGTGACTTAATCTGACTGCAGTTACTAGTACAGTTCAATAAAGGGAATCCATGCGATTAGCATTGGCTGCCTGGTTCTCTCCTCCCGGCCTGGGGCTCTGGGGCAGAGGTGGGGTGGGGTGGGGAGACTGTCGTCACCCATAGGGTGTTGTGTCCCTATGTGAGTCCCCATGGGATCACGGGGGCCTGTGGGGACCTGCACACCACAGACCCAGCTTCCCTTGGGAAAGAGGACACATAGAAACCTAACACGCGTAGTCTGGATCAGGTGGCAGGTGGCCACCGAAGTCAAAACAGAAGGAACTCTTAAAAATGAAACACTCTGATCTTTTCATTTGTGGAAACGAAGCTCAGGGGTAAGTGGGCTGACCCATGATGTTTCCTTGTTTCTCCCACTGGGGATGGGCAGGTGGTTAACCCTTACCTGGCCAGGACCCCAGGAGGGACTTGGATTCCACTTGTGGCCAAGGTGTGAGGACATGACAAGAGCTGGGGGTAACCCTCCAGTCCCATGCGATCCAGGGCTGGGGGCGCTGCAGAGCCGAGGCAGTTGGGAGCAGCCAGTTTGCAATCCCAGAGATCAGTGGGACGTGGAAGCGCTGAGACCTGTGGCCAGGGCCAGCCAGGGCTCTAGCGGGGCAAGGGAGGTGCCTACACCACAAAATCTCAGGAGGCCCCCCTGTACTTGCAAACCCCAAGAAGGGGTGTTTCCTGACATTTTACATCCTAGTTGCCTTGCCTTCCTCACCCCTCCGTCATGCTGGTGCCTGGCTGACTTGCCAATCAGAGGCTGCGGCTTCAGAACCTGCGTGGGGAAGCCCTTGTTAACTTTTCACAAGGGGCAAGAAAATTGGTTATTACCCTCTGCAGAGCGGAAATGAAACAGGCAGACAGATTGCACCTAATTACAATGTAATACAAAGTCACGGGCATGGAATTTGTAGCAATTATACCCAGCATCTTCTGACTCCCATATCAAGGGGCTTCTGGTGACCTGTAAGAGTTTCCCCCGCGGCCACCGCATGTAAGAATCTCACGTGGGTGGGGCATTTAGTCTTATAAAATGCCCATGGCACCTGCAAATCAGGGCAGACTCCTGCCAGTGGTGGGCCAAAGGGAGCAGTCACCCTTGGAATTCCTGGAAGTCGAAGGCAATGAACTTCAATATTATTTAGTCCCCTGGAGACTTGGCCATTTGGGGGGAGACTCAGGGCAGGCATGCTGTTCCCCAAAGTGTGGCCAGCCACAGTCCGGCCCGGTCCACAGCTAGGCTTGCCTTAGAGACGCCACCAAAGGCTGTGGGCAGGACCAGCGCATTCCAGGGCTTGCCAGATCACCGTCTCTGGGCCCTCTCCAGCTCCAGATTTATCCTGAACCCCATGGAGCCCAGGTGAGTCCTCGGTAAGTACCAACAGAAGATTTGATTTGACGGTTGGTGGCGTAGGGCTAAATTAGTCACTGCCCCCATTAAAAATACAGCGGGGGGTTTAAGAGCTTTTCACGCCATGTGGGAATCAGCAGCGAAGCCGGCGGATGCCTTGGGTAAGGAGAGAGGCGGCCTAGGGGACCGCGAGGTAATGAGGTTTATGGCGATGACAAGGCAGCCAGGGAACCCCACCGACTCCCCCCTCGCCTGGGCCCATTGTTCTCCGGCTGGCTCTGCCCCCACCCTTCTGCTGAGAGCCCCTCGTGACTTCGTGCAGGGAGGGGGCTCTACGGGGGACACGGGGCCCTTACAGGTATTGGTGTTTGTCACCATCAGACAGTATTGGGGTGGGGGTCGTGTGGGGCTATGTGCCTGTGCTTTGGAGACCAGCCCCCACCTCACTCCATCAGAGGATTTGAAGCTGGGATGAGCCAGTTTACCTCTCAGCCCAGAGGGTCCTTGCAGGGCCCCGGGCTTCCATGCTGTGATGCCCCGTTGCAGGGCTGAAGGCTGGCAGTGGCATGGTGGTTGTTGGGAAGATGACAAAGCCAGGCCTCTCACCAGGAGGGCCCCTCTCAGCCTGGAGGGTGCTATGGAGTCAGTGACTGGTAGTTTAGATGCTGGCGTGGGCAAGGTGACTTGAAGCTGAGGGTTCATTATTGCTGTATTTGCATGTACAAATTAGCAGTTTCTAGTGCTCTGTGGGTGCAGGAATTTTGCCCAGGCTGAAAAATGGACTAGGACACCTGGGCCCCAGACTCCTGCCATTGGGTACCTGCCTAGAGCTTCTGGAAGCAGGTGGATAAGGGTTTTAGTCTCAGTGGGGACACTGCCATAGGAAGAATCTTCTCAAGTTCCCCCAGCCACAGACCATGCTCCTCCTACACTCACAGTATGTTTGATATTGAACTTTCCACCTTTTAAAAAAATTCCCTTCTAGAATATGCATTCTTAAGGGTGGGTTCTGTACCTATAAGCATTTAGGAGGTGGGACCAAGACTTCAAGCCATTAGTCATCCAACCAGCAGGTATTTCTTGAGGATCCTTGAGGATACAGAGATGGCCAGGCAATGTGGCCCCTTCCCTCATGGGGTTCATGGTCACATGACACCCCTTTAGCAAGCAAGCCTGTCAGTAAATACCTCATCACACATCATTACAGGTGCTATGATGGACAAGGACTGTAGCTGTATGAGATGAGTAGGGACCATGCCAGAGGCAGGGGTGCAAGGAGGAAGGCCTTGCTAAAGAAATGACATCAGCTGAGACCTGGAGAAGGAAGGGCCCCAGGGAGAAGCCTCGAGTTGGAAGCAAACTGGAAGTATTCTCTGGGGTCTCTAGTTATACTGGATTTCAATTTCAGATGGTTTGAAACAAGCCCAGAGAATATCAGAATCTTGTCCAAGGTCATACGATTCAGGATAGAATTGAGACTATAGTTTGGGTGCCCTGCCTTCTAGCCTTGGTGTCTGATTTCCCTCTGTGACCACCTATTTATTGAAGAGCAAATTGAATAGTAGCTATTATTATTATGAATAAAGTGGCATACTCTTGGAAAGAATGCTAGCTCTCCTTTTCCTTAATAAATTGACTGATTTTTATCTGAGCAAATGTTACCTTGGAGAAGGTGTCAGATTATAGGTCCTATCCCTCCTAAAAGTTAGGTGTGGGGCAGCCCCAGTGGCAGCGGTTTAGCGCCGCTTTCAGCCCAGGGCATGATCCTGGAGACTGGGGATCAAGTCCCATGTCGGGCTCCCTGGATGGAGCCTGCTTCTCCCTCTGCCTGTCTCTGCCTCCCTGTCTCTCTCTCTCTCTGTGCCTCTCATGAATAAATAAATAAAATCTTTAAAAACACAATAAAATAAAATTAGGTGTGGCCATATTACTATTGGAAACTATACTGGTTCTGATAATGGGATATAAATAGAAGTGCTATTCATAAATTCTAAGAATTCTCCTTACATGAAATGAGCTCATCGCTTTCCCTTCCTGATGGCTAGAATGTAGATGCAACAGCTGGAGGTCCAAAAGCCATTTTGAACCATGAGGTAACCTGGAAATGGAAGACACACATGGGTTGAGCAACAATATAGAAGGAGCCTGGGACTCAAACTGTGCCAAATGCCTACCAGCTCTGTCCTGCTTCCCAATAGGTTTCTTAAACTTGAAAGAGAAATAAACTTCTTTCTTAAGCCATTATTATTTGTTTTTTTTTATTGTAATTGAATCAATTCTTAACTACTATAAGTTAAAATATATACATACATGGCTTCCAAGTAAGAGTAAACTTAGAAGGTTTAAGGAAAGGGCATGAGATGGTTAAAAATATCTAAAGGTTAAGAGAACTCAAGGACATACTATAATCAATATCTACTTGGCCAGTAAGTACATTGGGTTGGGCAGATCTGGGCTGGTCTCAGATTAGCCTGGCTGACCTGAGCTGGGTTGTCTGGCTATTGTTACTATAGGATGGTCTTGGCTGGGATGATGGGGGCACCTTTACTCTATTCTTCGTGTTTTACCCTCTGGCAGGGTAGCCTGAGCATGTTCTCATGCCATTGGCCCAGGGCAAGAGCAGAAAGAGTGGTTTGCAAGCTTCTGCTTGTACATTATGTTTGCTCGTGTCACATTGACTAAAGGAAAACTCACAGCCAAACTTAGACTCCAGGGCAGGGAAATGCACTTCACCTTCTCATGGGAGAAGCTGCAAGAACTAAGGGGAAAGGGCTGGACTCAGGGAAGGATGGGGAATTAAGGCCATTAATATAACTAATCTACCATGGAGCTGAAAGTCCACCTTTCCTTCCACCCAAGGCAAAACCTGGTAATAGGTACCATCTGTGACCACAGTTTTGGAAATGGGCAAATCGAGGTAGTCCAGCTTAGCCTTGGTGGATTGGACATGGCTTTCGGAGAAGAGAGACACCCTCAAAAAATTAGTCTCCCAAATGCTTGCTACCTGTCAAAGAATTCAAATGTTCACAGGGCCACTATTTTTACAATTTACAGTTGAATTTGGTTCACTCAGTCTTCCTAGGACACTGGCCAAGGATTATATACTCTGCATGGCACTTTCCATTTCAGGGAATGGGAGAAAACTCCCAACACTTAACAGAGACTGAACATTTATAACATGGTCTTGCTCAGTCTCTCTCCAGAAGCACCAATGGCTTCAGGTCTGCCATGCACACCCCAGCTGTTCCCTCCTCTGTGCTTTTTCCTCATGCTGTCACCTCTGCCTAGAATGCCCTTCCCTTCTCTTTTGCCTGGTTGGCTCCCAAGTTTTAAACTCAACTCCTTGAACTCATTAAGTTCACTAAACTTAAGTGTCTAATTCTCAGGGCCAGGACCTGGGTGAGGAGAGATGAGGGAAGCACCCACCTTGGGTGCTACAATTCAGCGAGAACCAATAAACTCAGTAATCAAGATAAACAATATTTTAATGCAATATTTTAAAAATCAAATTGGCAAACTGCAACAGGCTGGCTGCCTGTTTTTGAAAAAGATTTGTAGGAACCAGGGCTGGGTTAGGATGAAGCCAATGAGGCAGAGTCATGCAAATGCAGCATTAGATCCTGTCTTTATTTAAAATTTTGCTATTTGGGGGTACCTCAGTCTGTTGGGCATATGGCTTCTGCTCAGGTCATAATCTCAGGGTCCTGGGATCTCCCCTGCTCAGTGGAGAGCCTGCTTGTCCCTCTCCCTCTGCACCTACCCCTGCTCGTGCTTTCTCTCTGTCTCTCAGGTAAATAAATAAAATCTTTAAAAATGTTGCTATTTGGGGGGCACCTGGGTGGCTCAGTCAGTTAAGCATCCAACTCTTAGGTCTGGCTCAGGTCATGATCTCAGGGTCCTGGGATCAAGCCCCACATTGGGCTCCATGCTCAGCACAGAGTCTGCTGAGGTTTCTCTTCTTCTGCCCCTCCCAATCATTCTCTCTCTCTCTCTCATTCAAATAAATAAATAAATAAATAAATAAATAAATAAATAAATAAAATCTTTAAAAATTTTTTCAAAAACGTCACTATTTTATTCATTGTGGATTTTTTGCATGAATTTTGATTTAAAAAAAAAACATTGCATTAAAGTATTGCTCTGAGTTATCTGGCATTCACTGAAGTTTTGTCCTCATCTTACCCTAGTCTCTGGCCCCATCCATCCTCCAGGCAACCTAGTCTGACCCCCACAGTTGGGTAAAATGTTCTAATAATAAGAACCTTGATAATACCCAATGCACACACTATCATTGGATACCTGCACACTTTTATAACTGTCTCCAAACTGTGTATCAGTCAGGATAGGTGAGATTATGGCACAGTAATAAAATGGGCCCGTGTTATAATGGGCTAACACAATGGGCTAATGAGATTTCTTTCTCACTCATATTATGTTGCCATCCTGGATCTTGAGGGTCATTTCTTCATCATGGTCCTTTAGGAAGGCCAGCTCCAGGAGCAGCCACTGCCACAAACATAGTCAATAATCAAGCCAGAGAGAGAGAACTTGGAAGGGTCTCACGCTGCTAATTCAATACTCTTGCCTGGGAGTCACACACGCACACGCACACAGCACTTCAACCCACAGCTCATTGGCCAGCTGCTGTCATATGGTCCTACCCTATTACAAGAAGCCAGACGTGCAACCCTGCCATGAGCCTGGAAGAACTAAGAACAGGGAAGGTTTGGTAAATGGCACTAAGAACTACATTCCTCCTCTCCACTCATCCCTTACTGTGATCTTTCTAAGGGCGGAGGCTGACTCATGCAGCCTGCACAGGATCTGGAGCAGACACATATTTACTGAATGTATGCAGAAATTGCAAAAGTGGATAAATGACACTTAAAAAGGCCTGGGGGGGGGGGGAGAAAGCATGGTGTATATGAAGAAGCAGTACAGCCTAAAGCTCTGGATTCAGGATTCAGCCCTCAGCTTTAGCACTTATTAGCTGTGTGATCTCCAGCAGAGTACTTAACTTCTCTGAGACCCAGTGTTTTCATGGGCAAAATGGGGCAGATAGCAAATAGCCTTAGGTCACAAATTCATGGGAAGTTGAAATGAGATGAGAACGATGATGACATTAAAAAAACTATCACGTGGGCATTTACTCTGTGCCCGGCATTATTTTAAGCGCCGGTACAGGTATGAATTCATGTAATCCACACAACATTATCACGTGGGTACTGTCATCCTCTCTTTAAGGAGGAGGAAACCAAGGCGGAGAGCCTATAAGTGACTCTAGCTGGGATTCTAACCCAGGCGGTCTGGTTCTACGGCCCTGTTTTAAGCCCCAGAAGCACTTCAGCAGAGCGCACAGGAACGTGCTTTCTCATCCCTGGGACTGATGCTGGGTGTGGGTCCACCGGGGTCTGCGGCGGAGCCTGGCCAGGGCTGGTCCGCGCGAAAGGGGTCTGCACCTGCAGCTCTAGGACGGGCGGTGGGGACCTAGCGGCTCGCCCCGCCCCGCTCCCTCCCCTGAGCCCTGATTGGCCAGACCGGGCGCCGGCCCCGCCCACCGGCGGCCGCCTCGGGCCGCGGGCTGAGCGCGAGCAGCGCGCTGCGGACTTATTTGTAGAGTCATTAATTACTGAAGGGCGCAAACCGTGCTTCTGTGCATAAAAATATGTTTGAGCAGTTTCTACTTAAACTTTAAAGAGAACGTTAATCAATTTTATCTTAACAAAATGACCTTAAGCAGGGAAAAAAAAAATTGGTGTTATTTGCCCAAACAGGCAAATTAATTTCTCTCTCTTGAGAAATCTGAGAAGTTTCCAGAAATAGCTATGCATAATTTACACCTGCCCTGGCCGCTCCTAGTTTAACGCCAAGCCCAGTCACGGGCCCTACCCAGCCCCAGGCCCACAAAGAACAAAAACAGATCCTTGCAAAAGCCCTGTCGTGCCCATGCCTGTGCAGTCAGTAGGCTACTCAGTGCACCCCCACTTCTCGCCGACCACACCCTGACCTTGGGAAACGGCGCTGAGGGTAGAGAGCCAGGCAGTCTCTGAGGGACCAGCCCAACCTGGATCAAGGTCACTGGGAGGAGAGGGACAGCTCCCTAGTGAGAGGGCCTGGGAATTCTTGGGACACCTAGGAATGGTCTCCAGCGGATAACCAGGCTCCCTTCTGAACACCTGCCTGCTTACTGCTCTCAACCGCCCACCTCCGCACCCTTGAGGGATTCCCAGGTTGGCAGGCTCCAGAACCTTCAGCTGAGCCTGTGTCGTAGTCCAAATCCATGGAGGCACATCCCAGACATCTGCTGCTTGTGTGTGTGTGTGTGTGTGTGTGTGTGTGTGTGTGTGTGTGTTGTGCAAGCGCCCTGCCTGGAGTGTGGGCTTAGAGGCAGGGTGCACGGGCCACTGGAGCTGTGGTCAGTGTCCAGGCCTGTCTTCAGCAGCAGTGTGAGCTTTGGCAAGCTGTCCAGCCTCCCTGGACCTGGGTGACCTCATCTGAATGTGGAGCTTGTGCTCTTCCTGCCTCCGTAAGCTGCTGTGAAGATGGAATGAGGATCCTGGGAGGTCTGCTAGGGAGGTGGTATTTTGTCTTACTGTCTCTGCTGTATTCCCAGCATCTAGAACAGTGCCTGAACACAGCTGATGCTCAATGAATATTTACTGACCTAGTGAATGGATTAAAAAATGCCAAACACAGTATGGCAGGCAGCACCCTCCCACCTTAGCCATGGGATCTATGTTCCAAGACCCCCAGTGGATGCCTGAAACCAGATATAGTACCGAACCAGATACATGCTGGATTTTCTCCTATACGTGCAAAGCTACCATAGTCTAATTTATAAATTAAGCGCAGTAAGAGATTAACAACAATAATAAAATAGACCAATTGTAATAATATTAACTGTAATAAAAGTTATGTGAATGTAGTCTCTCTCTCTCTTTCTCTCTCAAAATATTATATTATACTCACGCCTCTTCTTGTGATGATGTGAGGCGATAAAATGCCCAGGTGAGAGATGAAGTGAGGTGAATGGCACAGGCATTGGCACCTAGCGTTGGGCTCCCTGACCTGACAGTATTTAGGAGGAGGATCCTCTGCTTCCAGACACAGGGGACTGCAGGTAACTAAAACCCCCCGGAAGGTGGAAGGCAAACCCTGGATGGCGCGGGAGCGGGACTGGGGGGACGACTCTAGCTGTTTCATTATTATTACTAGTAGTATTCTTGCAGCAGGATTTTTTTA